TGTGTAGGTTAATGCGACGCAGTTGGGGTTGCCGTGTGCGTAGATGGATGGGGAAAGGCATCGAACCCTAACCCCATGATCGAGTGATATAGTATGACTGAATTGAGGCATGATGATGGTTTTTTTTGTTGGGTTGTTTATGTTTGGAGGTGCTGTTGCGCAATAGAGAAAAGATTATTCAGCTCTTTACTAGATACCGGCCAAGCCGCCGCGATGATTTGTTATCCTGTCACCGTTATCGTTGGGTATAAACCCAAAAATCGCTTGTGTGGGTTTAATGTGATCACAAGATGGTCAAAGAGTGCCATAAAATACTACTGAAAAACTTTTTCTGGTAGAAACTAACACGGGGTAAGAATTAACATGTTGCCATATCCAGCCCTTGGGACCATTGAGTAGTAGGACCCTAATAGTTACACACACCTGAATCGATGTAAGAAATACATGGTACAACTGGTATATTCAGCTCGTACCATGGTCCACGAATGCCACGACGATAACTGTAATGGGGTGTGGAAGTATCAGTTGATAAGTAACGGGTATTAATGACACTTTCTAGGGCCTGCTACCAACTGTTACTCGTCGTACTAGTTAGTGTATCTTAACATGTCCCAAGAGAGCAAAAATATTCGATATCCAACTTCACTAATGGACCCCAAAGAATTATGCTTGAGAAGGCCAAGAAATTCAGGGCCTTTCGTCCGTTCGTATTTCGGTGGTTGTGACAGACCGGGACAAAACCGTGTAGATCAAGGAAATGGGCTACCAAGACCTGCTGTTTAAACCCACCAGAAGCGTTAAGTCGAGTCTTGAGTAAATGCAAATAAATCCATACATATGCTGCTTGCAAGTATTCAAACAAGAACCCAAACTTGAGGGCGAGGGCGAGTTTGCTTCCCTTTGTAGTGATAACGATAAATCTCTCGAGGATGTACATACCTGCGACACCTCATTATATATCTAGCTTCAGCACAATGCCTACCAGTTTGTTTCCAAGCCGCGCACCAAATCTGCACACAATTATTGAATTATCAATCAATCAATCAATTGCAATCAAACCGCGCACCAAATGAATTAAACGAAAATAAAAAATAAAAAAATAAAGATCATAGAATATCACTCGATATCTAAATCCGCGCCCCAAAACCCGCTGACCACCTTTCTTCATGTTCCAAGTCGCTGAGCTCTTTCCTCGCTTTCAGAGCGGCTTTGGAACAGGTCTAAAATATTCACTAGCACGCTCGGACCCGAGTACTTACTAAGGCGCAAGTTTGATATCGATACATCGTCATAACACTTCGATACAACAGCTACCATCCCCACAAACCATCGCCCACCGTTCGCTCCACCCGAAACACCACACTTTGCACGTTTCATATCTCGATAGATCGTTCATATTCACTAGTGATAGTGATGTAGTCTCGACAAGTCCCCCGCCGGTCAGAGATTGCATCCATCTAGCCACAACGCATCCAAAGTAGCCGTATCAACACCACATACCCGGCCAGTACAGGCTTCGCAGGTAGCTCGGGTCACTACTAGTCAGAAGCCTGTCTCTATAAAGGCAATCTTTAACGCTTAGTATTAATGTCGAGTCACTCTCTGCTGCTAGTGACTTAGTAGAATCCAAACCCAGCCATGTTAAGTATTAGATAGACAGCTAGGTGTCCCTATTATGACCTAGTCCTTGCGCGCGGGCTGTATTATGTTCGGTTTGGCACCAACGCTATGATATCAACCCGCTGTCAACTAGCTAAAGTATATATTTCAATCTTCAACGCCCGGAGCGCGCGATGGCCTTCGAAGCCTCCGGGTCCCGGGGCCTTGGGCTTGACAGTCCTGATAAGAGGCTCTTTTACTCAGCCAGATCTCTCTAGTCAAGGCTTTCACCCAACGCGGAGATGAACAGTGTAGGCCAGCCGACCGACAACATCTACTCGAGCGGTCGGGGATGTAGCACTATTATCCTCAATCCATCACAAACACCACAAACACAGCCAACATTAGGATAAACGGCGACCTTCTGCCCTGACAGCAGCAACACTCAAGAACCAACCAACCTTCCAGCTTATGTGCGAGCCTCCGGGTCAAGGAGGCCGGTCCGTTCCCGATACACATTCTCCACGCCATAGAAACCTGGATGCACCACATTGCCAGGCCGCTACCGACACCCTGTGGCATTCACCGTCCGGGCAAGTAGTACGAAGAAGAAGAGGAGGAGGAGGAGGAGGAGGAGGTAAGGTAGTGGTAGTACATCGACGTGTCCAATATCACTCCACCCTCCCAGCTAGCTAACCTATACGCATTACGGGAGGGGACCAGCTCCGGTAACGTGCTAATAAGTAAAGGCATAACTAAATGTACCGTACCAGGCCAGCTACCTACCTAGATGAAGCGACAACCACCTAGCTCAATATCTTGAAACGTCAGCGCTCCTGTCCGATATTCTGAGGCTAGCTCCAGTGTTAACGTTTTTTTAGAAGACCACGTTTGTATCAGTAATCACCCCACCATTCGGGATCCGGAAACCATGTGGGATCCTGTACCGTGGTTTTGCACGGATATATTTGGGTGGGTGGGGTGGGGTGGTGGGGGATAACTAATGAGAGTGGGGGGAGGGGAAGGGAGGAGGGGTTTATTCCTGTAGAGGATATGGGGGGCGGAGTGGGATTAGGGTTGGGGGTGGGTATACATTGTATGGGTGTTCGATCGATCTGCCTTCTAAGATTAGATATATTCGTGAGGTAGAAGTCACATAGGTTTGTGGGGGAGGGAGGGGGTGCTCGAGATATATTGAACCTACATACGGTTTACGGTTCCTAGAATGCACTGCGCTGGCATAGCAAGCATTGGAGAGTGCCGGATAGGTACTTGCTTGGTACACTACACGATAACATGGGAAGCATCGCGATCCTACTTGTAGCTATACGGGTACGTATAAGTCACTCTACGGCAGAGACAAGAATAGGGCGTACGTAGAAGGTGGATAGAACACATGGGGGTAAGTAAACGTTTCAGATAGAGGTCGAAAATCTACCGTTTCAGTGATCCGGTACGTTTGCAAACTCACGTGTGTGGCCCGGATGTGTAGTATTCTCGCCTATGTATCCTGTAGCGGATTCAACCTTCTAGATGTTTCCCTGATACACATCCCCATCGAGGAATTTTTTGGGACGTTGAAATAAACACTGTTTGCTCGTGCAGATATTCTGTTCTGAAACAACACAGCCTCTCTACTAATTTTGGATGGTGCTGCATGCATACATGCATATCATTGATCGCGGGGAAGAAAGTGCAACCTTAAACCGTGGTCCCCTGAAACATGGGGTCACCGTAGTTAATTTGTGCACTGTTCATTCGCTAAAAAAATAAAAAGCCTACCGGGCGAATAGAGTCAATCATCTTTCAGGGAACTAATTATTTACGTCAAATGTCCACCTCCTGTACTCAGATGTCCGCTTATCTCCCCGTAGCCCAGAGGCCAATGAGCATTGCTCGCATAATACCTGCATCACGCTGCATAAGTACCTGTATGTAAGTAAGTAAGCAAGTCAAACCTTAACTTCAAATGTCTTAGGTCTCGCACAATCGTTATCGATTACAGCACGTGCATCTCTCCATCCAGACTTCCATTGCGCCGCACATTGCCGCCGAACCCATCACCGGCGCACAGCGGCGAAGCCAATCGAATGGTTTATCCGGCTGCATAAGATAATAGGATATCGATATGCGGTAGTGTCCTTGTAAGCCGCATTTGCGGCCACAATTTCCGGAAGAGAAACTGATTCAGGTGGTGGACTGGAATGTGTGTTTCTGTTTGGTGAGATTTTCAGCCCTTGAGTTAGGGTCGGGGATGATGTTTTCTTTGAGATTAGTCCTACTATAACATCCGCGTGAGTTGCTCCATGCCCGCGCCCAACGTGATCCTCTTACTCGAAGGTCGGTCTCATATCATCTTGTCGTGATACCCAACGGAGCAGAGTCCGCAGCGTTCTCTTCATGTGCTGACCCTTTAGTAAGACAGGCCAATCAAGTAATGAGGAAGGAGCAACCATGACCATAGGCTCAATCCGGGCGTGCAAGACTCGCACTAGCTGCCATCGATCGGTAAGGCACCTGAGGCATTATCCGCAGACAGGGCTGCAGGGATATATGCGACCAAATTTATTGACCAGGGAGGGGGGGTATAGGTACTAGAAGTAGAAGGGTATTTTTAGTATTATTACCAACAATCTTTTCGATACTTGAGCTCTGTTTCCCATGGCGGAATCGCATGTTAAGGATTCTCGATGTTGAGCGATGTATTACATTTAGATTTCTTAATTTCTCGTCGGCTTGGATGAAGTGCTAGTCGATTAGTACAATTTCCAAAATGAGGATTGCACGCCATAGCCTTCCAAAAAGCCGAATTTGGCTAACTATTCCACTGCACCCTAGATCAAGCGCGCTTGTTTGCTCTGCTCTAGAGTACTGTTTTCACAACCTCCCAAACTATCGTGAAAATACTTTGGAGCCCTGGAAACCCTTCAGGTGCCATGAGATTAATTCCGCACGCCCTATCGATATATGGGCAGGGATAAAAATGTTCTTTTGCAGGAGAATAATATGTACGTACTGAACTGATTCAGACACCGGTATGCACTATTACACCATAAATTAATTGCTCCAACTCTCATTCCTGTAAAGTGACTGACTGACTGCCCTTCTATGCCTTAGCTAGTGACCGGGTGTGGTATTTGACCATCACATCACCCCACCCATATTGACCCGCTCACCACCATGTTAAGATTTCGGTAACGAGGCTGTGGGGGCACAACATTAGACCAACTTCCCGATTAGGATGATTAAAGTTGGTACCGGTAGAGCACTAACCATTAGTGATGCGCGCATGAATAAATACTGACCCGTTGCGGGCACACACCCCTGCTAGACATTACGGCGCAGCTCTACCGAGCCGCACAGCCCAACGAAATCGATCAATTAATGTAACAAGTGAAGGCCTATATGAATTGACGAGCCTGCATCTCTTTTCCCTCACTCCATCCACCAGATCAGTATCACTCGTTCGTTCCAGCTAAAGCCAAATAAAAACCGCTTTAAACACAACAAACAATATACCTTCAATGTCAAAGATGCCGTCCCTCACTCGCTCTCTCTCCAATGTCTTCCGTGGTGGAAACCGCAGTCGTTCCTCCTCCTCCGTCTCGAGTGGCTCAGAATCTCCTGCTCAAAGCCCTACTGTTAGCGCGTCATACAGCTATGGAAACCATCTTGCTGTGATGCTTCCTCCTTCACCTCCACCGGCCGATATTCCGGCTCCTCCTCCACCATCATATGCTAGTCTGCAAAGACCCTGTCTCTTCATTTGAACATGCGGACGAGAATCGTCGCTACAATCATTGCGCGACACGATTAGCCCACAATTGAGCTGGCCAGGCCATTCGCTTGCGTCTCGAGAAACATTACAAGTCAGCTTGAACGGGAAGGGTTTTCAGAGTTAGAGGGGGATTGGATATTTCTAGCAAGCTTGGCTTGTAAAACAGAGACTTGGGCGGTGGGCTATGGGTACTGTAGATAATTGTCATTTGGGGCCGGGGCGTTTTTTTCTGGATTGGTTGGATTGTATATTTCTTCTTCTTCTTTACTTCTTTGTATAAACAATTTAATTTCCTTCTCTTTTTCCTATGGCTTGGGGTTAGACAATCTTGGTGTTGGGGTATTTTCTTAGCTCGATTGGCGCTTTTACTTACAGGAATTGGACACTTGACATTTTTGACCGTACCTGGTCGAGCCTCTTGCATTGTTTTCACCTAAACATCGTGAATTCCGTTTAAGGTCATGCAAAGATCCGAAAGTTGCTCGATATCGGAACTCATGTGGACTTATAATCAGGTAACACAAACAAATATCTGGCTTTGAACGTTACAGGCCAATGGTGTTTCTATTAGACGTAGGAAATTCGCCGACTAACTATCCGGATCCGTATTTTCCTTTTTGGGATAGAACTTCCTCTGTCACTTGGATACTTTGAGCCAGGAATCCATGAGCAAACCGCACCACGAGGTGTGGCGCAATCCACATACGGCACGATCGCTAGTCCCTCGATCCTGGTACTCTAGCATCTGGTCGACTTGCGCAAACGTGGGAGTGGAGGCACGTACCACACTAGTGACTGTGCCATAAGTTTTGTTTCCAAGAGTCCCGTCGACGCGGGAACGGAATTCATGATATTGATCACATGTATGCCAGCTTGACATGCATGGTTAACGCATAAGTATATGCTTGGATCGGGACGAGACGTTAACGTTATATGCAGCTTTTTTTTGGTGGTTATCAACTGATTGGAGAAGGAGTTGGTGGTTTATATGCACGAGTTTGCATCCCGAATACCATGGAGAGGCCTCGGGGAGGTACGAAGTACGTAACTAAGTAGAGCAACACTATAAAGCATTGGGAACTTTTTTCCAGTTACAACAGTCGTACTTGAGTCCGCTAATTAGGATACCTTTGCTTTAAGATGCAGGCCATAGCATATATCGGATTTCCGCTAAGTAGCTACCCGGAAATCATACTATGCAGCTGCCAGACACAACAGATATAACGCCACCAACCTGGTCGTTTGGAGATGCTTAATCTGTATCCAGCTGACTCTCTTTATGATCGAATCCGTAAGGCATGGATGATCATACTAATCAGTCATCATTGATGAGTCCTCTGTCCACCGGCATAGGAATCCGCAAACCCATCCTCCATATGGCGACCAAGCTGAATAAGGACCGCAATGTTAAACCTAAATGTCATATGGTATGCCTACAGCTACAGTTGTGATGCCAGGGATATTGAAGGCCATCTGGCACGCACTATGTCGAGGGCCTGGGCCTCATGCACCTGTGCGGGTAAGCATCGCCTGGCGTGTATGGATTGTGGCGTATAGTGTACGGCGTATAGAGTAACTGGCGCCTATCCAAACCTCGCCAATACTGGAGAGCCCTCTTCATGGGCGAGACCAGGGGCCATGAAGTATCTCTTGCCTGCCACTCCCCAGCCGCAAACACCCTGCCTCGGCCGTTCCGGTTCCTCTAATGAGCAGCGTGCCTCTTTAGGTCCGGCCTTTTATGTCATCTTATAAGAGGGAGTTTCATGTAGCCAGAAGGGACGAAGAAGAACGATCTTGCCGTTTGAAAAGTAATCACCAAGTTATTAATGTTTCGTCCCACAGCTAGCAACCAAAACCAGAGGGGATAAGCGGTATATGCGTCCCATCTATTGTACTCGGGACGAAAGACAATGCTCAGAAAGACATAGGACAAACTGATGTTTTGCAAAGAGCAGATTTGCCCCTGTCTCAGATAGAGGTGTCATGGCTCTGGGGGTCATTAATGGATTGTAGCTTCTCCTCGTCCCGCCAGATAGGTGGTCTACCAACCCATCAACCGGGCGCGGTCGAAGTGTATCGAGAAGCAGATGAACATGGGATGAATGGCATGGTCTTAATCATCAGTAGTAGGCGGACGAGTGTGGACTTGCCACGATAGTTCGCCCTTTCTCGTCTTTTTGTAGGGGAACGATTCAATTGGCAGACAATCCTATCCGAAAAGAGGTACTGCCCGGCGAAGGCACTCTGTGAGATGATGAGAAGGGCGCCCCCAACTGACATCAATGGGGGTGAATTGGTGGTTGAAGGGTGGGAAGGTGATGATTGATTGGTTGTTTGGTTGGTGGTTCGTTTTGTTAGTGGTTCGTCTGGTTGGTGGTTCGTTTGGGTGAGAGACACAAAGTTGAAGAAGAAGAAGACAGTAGTGGAGTGCCAAGGATGACGAACTTCGAAGAGCACTCCTCGCGGCCCTCGTGGCCTACTGACACATCTCAAACCACACTAATAGAATAGTCCATCCCGTCTTGTGTATTCGGTAAGAATGTCCGAGGGGCTAGGGCTAGGTTTACTCCAAAACCTGCGGATTGATCATTTCCGGCCTCCACTGAATCGAATGCGGGTTTCTATGGGCTGCAACGACAACACCCCCCAATTCCTGGCTCCGCCCTCAACAAAGCAGCGTCCCTCCTGGGATGACGCCTGTCCGTGGTTTGAAGATTTCCTCGTCGCGAGCCCTGGCGGCGTACCCAGCGCGGCAGTGCATACTGGGGTTGTTTAGTATCGCAGCTGGAGGTTCACAGATGTGGGAACGTCGGTGGGGGCTTTGGTAGATGGCGTGATATGTGATGCGTTTAAGGTTTAAGCCCGGGTGTGTGTGTGTAGGTTGAGAGGGTGTGTAGGTTGAGAGAGCGTGTAGGTTGGAGGGTGTGTAGATTGAGAGGCATGCGGTGAGGGTGTGGGATGACGTGAGTGGGGGATTGTGGGGGATTGTGGAGGGTATTGAAAAATTGAGGCGTGGGGACGATAGCGTGAAGAGAAAGGTAGAAGGTACAAAGTCAGATGACGTGGTACTGTATGGTTAGTAGTAGATAGAATCCGGCGCGGTTGAAATCACGTCATAGACGATCACTCGCCCTTTCCAAGGGTACGTAAAGGAAATTCTTTTTGGTTTAACTCATTAATCGTATGCAGCTTGACAGCTATGACGATATAAGGAAGCGTAAAATCAACAACATAAAACTCAGAATCGAGTTTCTAAACAAGCTTTGGCAATATGCCACCTCGTCTAACAAGTCTCACCACCCAATCTTTTTGCGAGAAATTGACTGTCTAGGTTCTTGCCGGGTTGACAACCAACTTTCCATCTTTAACTGCTGTCAGTACAAACCACTAGTTCTTTTTACTTACTAGCAAATACCCCCACAACCTCATAAACCATTTTGGGACTTGGCTTCATATCGCGCCATGTTTTGGGTGCACAAAACCAAACTCAAACCAATAGTTCAAGATCATTACAGAACAACACGAATATATTGACAAATTCCTAGCTAGCGACATCTCTCTTGCCTCAAATTAGAGTCTGATTTGTGTACCTATGAAACAAAGCAACAACCAAGCTCAAAAGCACATAACCACCAGAGCAGAATAGTCAACAAGAAGCGGAGATCCCCTCACACAAATACACAACTACTATACAACCCCCCCCCCCCCCCCACCCCGCGGGGCGCCCCAGACGCCCTAGCTACACACTCACAAATACGTCTCCAACCCCACCGTCACAGCCCCGGTACAAGCCGCCACCCACACCGCCGACCAAAAGATCTTCCTCCTCGGCCTCCTCCCCTCCTTCACCCCCTCCTCCACCCCCTTCTCCTCCACCTTCACCTCCTCCACCTCCTTCTGCACATTCTCCTTCTCCTTCTCCTCCCTCCTCCGCTTCTCCCACGCCCCCCTCGCCACCCTCTCCGCCGGCGACACCAGCCCCCGCACCTCCTTCAGCACCTCCCCATACTTAATCCTGCTCCCCTCCCGGTCCACCATAACAACCAGACAGTCCCGCTCGCCGCCCACGACCTCGAAGCCGCCGCGCTGCAGCACGCGCCACAGCGGCAGGAACGCCTCGGGGTTCGTGAGGCGGCGCATGGCGTCGAAGGCCGTGCTCTCGCGCGAGAGCGTGGGGAAGTCGCTGATGAGCGAGTGTGGCAGGGGTGTGAAGTGCATGGAGCCGGTGTCGGGGTTGCGGACGAGGATGTAGTAGTTTTTGGGTGTGGGGGGAGGGGGAGGAGGTGGAGACTGCGGGGGAAGTGTGGGTGGTGGAGACTGCGGGGGAAGTGTGGGTGGTTCGGTGAAGGGCATAGTTGGGACTACGGGCTCGATCAGTGGTGTTGGGTCTGCTGTAGGGGGCTTTGGTTTCGGGATTGGCTCGGTGGCTGGTGGTGGGGTCGGGGTCGGGGAGGGGTGCTTCAAGACGTCTTCGGTGGAGACGTTCTCGGTGCCGGACCACTCGTAGTCGTGGTGGTCGTGGTGGTCCTTAGACGGGATGAATTTCTCGATGGGGCCCAGGTCGAGGCTGTCTGCGATGCGGCGCATCCGTTCCTGGAGCTCCTCGGGGCTCTCGCGGGGCTTCTTTTGCGGTGGTGGAGCGCTGATGTCGGCCTGTGTGGTGGTGGGCTGTTTGGCTTTCGCGGATTCGGCCTCGGTTTGTGGTTGGGTCTTCACTGGTATTCCGGCGGCGCTCCGTATGTCGGATGGGAGGAGATGGTCGATGTCTGCATCGGGCGACTCCTGCACCTCTTTGGAGTCTTTGACGAGAGTGAAACTATGGGATCTTGGTGTATCCTTTTTTACTTGAGGCGCCACTGCTTGCTCATTCTTAGGGACCGCTGTGGCTGGGATGGTCCCGGTTGTTGACGTCGTCGTGATATTGTCTGTTTTTATAGACGTCGGGGAGGACGAGGGGGTCTCCTTTGCTACTTTTGTCAAATCATCAACCTTGGTAGGTTGGGCTACAGAGTTTGCTTGGGACTTGGGTTTCGTCGCTTCGGCAGTGGCTTCAGGCGCTGGAGTTGCTACTTCCTTTCGGCCAGTCGGCTTCTCGGGCAGCGTTGGAGGATCCATCTTATGGAGTTTGTCGGTTTGGCCTTTGATTATTTTTGCGAGGATCTCGGATGTGTTGGCTTTTGTAGTACTTTTGACTGGTAGCTCTATAGGGGTGCTGTCTGTTTTGGTTCGCAGTCTAATCAGTACTGGATCTCAACTGCGGGATGGCGGGCAAAACGATCAATAGCAATCTGATCTGATAACACAGTAAAGGGCAGCTTGTTATCAGATCAGATCCCAATTGATCTTCTACCGCCTCTAGCAGATTGTGTGTCAGTGCGCACTAGTAAGCTGGTTAAAGACATACCCTTTGACGCCGGCTTCGACTCCTTCTCTTTCGCCTTCTCCTTCTCCTCCTTCTCCTTCTCCTTCCTCTCCTTCTCCCTCTTCTCCCTCTTTTCCTTCTCTCTCTTTTCCTTCTCCTTCCTCTCCTTCTCGGCCCTTTCCTTCTCCTTCCCGGCCTTTTCTTTTTCTTTTTCCTTCCTTTCCTTCTCGGCCTTCTCGGCCTTCTCCTTCTCGGCCTTTTCTTTTTCTTTTTCCCTCCTTTCCTTCTCGGCCTTCTCGGCCTTCTCGGCCTTCTCCTTCTCGGCCTTTTCTTTTTCCTTCCTCTCCTTCTCCTTCTCCTTCCTCGACCCCGGATCCTCCCTCTCCCCCTTCTTCCCCGCCGTGACAGCCCCCTTCTCCCCCTTCTCCCCCGTCTCCGCCCGCGCCTCGACAACCCCCTCCGCGCGCCTCGGCACCTTCCTCAGCGTGATCAGATCGATATCATACTACACCCCCCGCCGCCCCCAAAGGTCAGCACACAACCCCAACCCCAACCCCAACCACCCAAAAAGGCCAAAAGGGAGAAGAAAACCAACCTCCTCACTGCTCCCCCCCTGCACCCTAACCCACCCCGCCCCCGGCCCCGCCCACTCCCACCGCCACTCCATCACCACCCTGCGCCGCGCCGCCCTCTGCAGCATCACCAGCAGCCTCTCGGCGTCGCTCGGCGGCCGCCGCCGCGGCCACTGGCTCCAGAAGGGGAGGAAGATGAAGCTGCGTGTCTGTGGCCGGGTGAGGTGGTGGTGGTGGTGGTGGAGGAGCGTGCGGCGGGGGCCTGCGGTCGAGAGCATGCTGGTGGTTAGTTTTGGGGGGGGAGGGGCTTATCGGTTGGTGGGATAGGTAGGCAGCTGGTATTGGAGGGGTGTGGGGAGTGTGGGGATTCGAATGGGACGGGACGGGACGGGACGGGAGTAAGCGAGATGAGATCCGATGGTGGGTTATGGTTTGTTTTCCTGGCTCTGGTTCATGAAGCTCAGATTCAAGCTCCGTTTCAATCCTCCGTCAGGCGGGTAGCGAGAGTAGAGGAGCGAACAGACAACAGACAACAGACAGATACGAGATAGCTCAGGCAAGCAGAGCAGTGAGCACTAGACTGGAGCAGAGCAGAGCAGAGTAGAGGCTAATACCCTAGCTGCCTTAGTAAGACGCGGCGTTAGTAAGAAAGCGGGAAGGGGTCCCTCATCGCCAAGCACCTCGGGTATTAGCAGCCGAGCGAAACGGGCTAGCGTGGGTGGTGCGGGGCGGGGCGGGGCGGACTAGCACTCAGGACTGAGACTCTGGGGATTTACTGCGAAGACACTGACTCGGAGGGATTGTAGCTAGCACTGGACGCTGGATGACAGAAGTGAGAGTAGAGATCTCAGAAGCTGGGGCTCTGGATGTACTTTAGGTGGCGATTATATCGCTGACTCGTTCTGAATCCGGATTTTAGTCGTGGGCTCCATCCAATGATAGCGGAACTGTACTTTGTACTTGGCCCTAAGCCTAAGCTATCAGATTACCATATATTTCTAGATTAAGGCTATGGTTCCATCTCGTGTGCAGAGATGATACATGTAGGGACTGGAGTCCAGCCAATTATTCAGATACCACCTCCCACGCGGCATCTCCAGTACCAATTTCACTTCCATCTCTAAACCCCACGATGCCTCCAATCCCTGCCCCCCCCCCCCCCCCCAAAAGCAACACCTCCGCCAAGCTTTTAAGCCTCACCAGACCCTTGCCCTTGCCCTTCTCGAGTATTAGATAAGAGAGCTCTCTCTGCCCACACACATCCCACTCACCCACTCACCCACCCACCCACCACTGCGTCATAATCATCCATCAACTTCCCTCGACCCTCCCCCTACCCATCACCACTATCAAAAAAATTCACAATGGCCTCCTCGCCCACGGGCTCCGCAACCCCCTTCTCGGACTACACGAGCAGCCGCAGCAACCGCGGCCTCGGTGACATTGATGTCCTGGACGTCTACATCCTCAAGCACGGTGCCGATCCCGTGCTCGTGCTGCTGCCAGTATCACGCATAGGCACATATGCCGTGAGTAGTCCCATCTTCACAGCCACTATCCTGACACCCCCATCATCACCCGTACCCGCTCACACCGCCAGGAATTCCTCTCCGTCATAAAAAACGACCTGCACCCGGGCCTCGCCGACGACAAGGACGCAGTCACGCCCCTAATCTACACCATGGACCCCTACATGACCATCTCCCTTCTCCGCCCCACCCTCTGGCCCGACCTGATCCCGTACCTGCGCGGCAAGCGGCTGCTCGTCCTCCCCGGCGACTCCCCCGCCCCCACCACTCCCGCCGCAGCAGCCACGGAAGAAAAGCACAAGCGCTCACAAACCTCGTGGACGCAATACCTAACGCCCAAATCCGCGCCCACAACCCCAGAGACCACCCGCATCAGCGTCGACGCCTCCCCCGCCCGCGCCCACACGCTCCCAGCGCTCCCAGCGCTCCCACCACCCGCACCAGCACCAGCACCGCCAACGCCCGACGCCGCACGCACAACAGCGCCCGAGGTGTTCTACACCCCCGAGACAATCCGCACGGCGGCGGCCCCCGAGCCCGTCCCCGCCCCCGCCCCCACCAACGCGCGCCGCACGAAAGCGCCGTCGCAGCTGCCGACGGCAGCAGGCGGCGGGCACCCGCGCGGCTTCCGCCCGCTGACGCGCACCGAGTCGTTTCTCAAGCCGCCCGAGTTCGGCTTCGACATCTCGCTGTGGTGCCGGTTCGCGCCGGCGTACAAGCCGGGGCTGCTGATGCATGTGCAGTTCCGCGAGATCACGCTGCAGGTTGTGCCGTCGCAGCCCGGGGGGCTGGATGTGGGCGCGGTCATGAATAAGGCGGCGTCGGCAATCACGAACATGGTGCGGCGGCAGGGGTTTCTAAGGATGACGAGCTCGTTTCGGGAGCTGGCGGTGCGGCCGGGGGCGCTGAGGATGGCGTTGGAGGATTGGCCGTCGGTGGGGGGGTTGGTGGTGGGGGTGGAGACGCTGAGGTGGGTGGCGGAGCCGGTGGTGCTGTTTTGTGAGGTGGGGGATGTGGAGTTTGTGAGGGAGGGTGGGGGGAGGGAGGATCCGAGGAGGTTAGGGGAGGCGAGGAGGGAGGAGGGGAGGAGGGACGAGGCGAGGAGGGAGGAGGGGAGGAGGGACGAGGCGAGGAGGGAGGAGGGGAGCAGGGACGAGGCGAGGAGGGAGGAGGGGAGCAGGGACGAGGCGAGGAGGGAGGAGGGGAGCAGGGACGAGGCGAGGAGGGAGCCAAAGCCGATGCCGATTCCAAAGAAGGGTAGGAAGGTGAAGAGAGTGCAGGTTGAGAGTGAGGATGAGGTGGATTGATGATGATGATGATGATGATGATGGCAATCTAATGTAACCTATGTAGTTTTGTTGACCATGGCGGGTGTAATTATATTTTATCTATCTAGGCGTTCTCAGGCTGTTGGTGGTCGAGGTCGCGCTATCTGTGGCCTAGAGTCTATTGCTGTAGTGAGTGTTCAGATGCAGGAAGACGAGAGTGATGATGATTGCATTACTCGGTGCCGCAGCTTATCTTCATAGCATCTCAGAACTATAGTCGATCGCAACCACGTAGCAGTTGTAACGTGTCTTAGCACTCATTCCGCTAACGTGCCTCACGGCGTTGGTTTGATACGCGAGCAGTTCTAGCAATGCTTAAATTGTAAATATCAGTTGGAATAGATAACGACTCTCGCATTCTGCCTTCAGAGCTGGTTCTACACTACTACTTGCGGTACTACCATCAGTCCAGATGCCCAAAGTCACCACTGCGCTGCATGAATCCTCAGAGCATATACCATCACGACCAATTCCACTAGAAAGAAACACTCAATTCAATATACAACCCGGTATCACAGCCAGCCACAACCCCCCACCCGCTTCCCTCTACATACCCAGCGACCCCCACCTAACCAGCCAGCCCCCCGCCCCCCCCCACTACAGCCTGCCCACACTCCTCAACCCCTCCTCCCCGTCCACCAACACACACCTCCCCCCCGCCACGACCGTCATCCCCGCCTCCTCCGCAAAGCCCACACACGCCTCGTCCGCGGCGCCCGGCTGGAACCACACCGCCTTGACGCCCAGCCCCTTCGCCGCCTGCAGCACCTCCAGCGTCACCGGCGGCGGCGTGATGAATGAGAGCGCGGTGTTGGCGGGGTCGGGCAGGTCGGCGATGGAGGCGAGGGTCGGGTAGGGCGTGGTGGAGGGCGGGAGCGTGAGGGTGGGGGTGCGCGGGTGGATGCCGGTGACGGGGAGGGAGTGGGCGTGGTACCAGGCGAAGACTGTGGGGGGGTTAGTTGGTGGGTTTTATGGGGGAAGAGGAGAGGGGGGAGTACCTTTGTGGCCGTAGCGGGAGGGGTCGGGGACGGCGCCGAGGACGGCGAAGTGCGGGGTTGAGAGGAAGGTCTTGATGGCGTTTGTGGGCGGCATGTTTAGTTATTGGAGATGTGGATTCAGTGGTGTTGAGTTTTGGTAAGTTGTAGGGAGCTTGCAGGTGGAGGGAGCTTGGGGTATAAGGCTAGCGCTGCGGTTTCGGTGATGCCATATGCAGAGGTATTTCGGGAACGGGTGGGCGGCGCGTGGGTTCGTCACATATTATGCCGATATTGATCTGCATGATTCTGAAGCAATTCAGTAGCTAAAAAATCATTTCCGGCACTGGGAAGTAGAATTTCGTTCTTAGCGAGTTCCATTTGCTTAATAGAGCTCTAGGGCTAGAGCATCAGCAGGAACCGTCTGGGTTAATTTCACAGGTGTTGGCTTCGGTGTTCAATTAAGCCACTTGATCATGAACGTGTGTGGCTTCATCAGAAGGCGCTAGTTGAGTATAAATGCCCTTACTCTCTCCGTCTCACTTTTCATCACTCATCCTCTCTTATAAATGCTCTTACTCTCTCCGTCTCACTTTTCATCACTCATCCTCTCTTATAAATGCTCTTCCACATCTCCTCCGTCCGACACGTCACATCAGCTATGTACAACCTCCAAAATCTCTTTACACGACGAGAAAAGGATCGCAAGGATGACGCTAGCGGAATAGACCAAGCGGATTGATTGATTACCCGACCAAGGTGGCATGCCGAGATAGAAAAACAGCGGACGAAACAAAGTGAGGATGTCCGCTCTTAAAAGGTAAAGGTCTAGCCTATCATAACCTCCTCTCCGACCTGACGAGACAGCACTGCAGCGCGCTGATCATGATCAACAATGTACTCTCTGGAATCGCATGTCGAGTGAGAGATCATGACCCAATTCCTCGGTGAACATGCTTGCCAAGAATGAGTTCTATGGTGCCAAGGCCCATAGGTGCAAGAACAAAGCCCTAGCTTGGCCGATGGCCTTGTCTCGGATGACAACATGTAAATATGGCTGCAATTAACCTCTCATCCGATTCTTTGATACCTCTCGTTCTTCGACACATCACAACATTCTGCTCTTATCAGGAAGATAGAGTTTCTAGCAAGAGCTAAGGAACCCTTCACTAGGAAGTACGATGTGCAGATAGAATGTCTTTCATCCGGCCGGCGTGTCCACAGTCCATATGGGAAATGTGGGCATAAAAGTAGTTATGGGGGACAAGGGCCAATTTTGGCTTGATCATGCTATATAGGTTTGCTTTACAACTCATCCTGATGGTCATGTAAACAAAGCTGAAACCGAACTAGAATTTGTTAGAGAACCGGATTGCTGGAGCAATATCAATAATTGGCACCCAGGAGAGATCGGCAGCGGAAGACGTGGTCGATGATAAAGAAAGTTTCGAGACAATACAGGTTCTACATGAATCCGTGGAGGCCAGAAATACTGGCCCTAAAAGCAAGCCTGCAAAGATAACTGCCACGAAGAGATCTCGGTACTCTTTATTGAAGGGCCCAAAAGTAATACGATGGCCGAGAGCTGGATCTTCATGGAAAATAACATAACATTCCTCTTCTCAGATTAAGCAGTCTGCTGAAGGGGTCTTATGAGACGGTTTACTTGAAGGATCGCATCCCGCGTTCTTAGAACTTAGAACGCAGGGGTTACTAGGTTAATCTCAGGCCCTTAATTCTTGACCTACGGTGTCTAGCGATTCATATCTCGACAGGTATCTCTGCGTTAGCTATGAGGTCTTCGTCATGGAACGGCATGCCGACTTACATACCTATCTCACAACCACGAATGGCAGACAACCGTGCTATCAAATCAGATATCCTCGGGTTTCACTCTTTTCTATCATATGAGATATTATTTCTTCTTAAAGAATAAATGAAATGGGTAGTATCCAGTGCGGCATGAGATCCGTTCGAAAATCCAAGGCTAGATGACCGAGGTCATTGAAGCTCAATATTCCCTCAAAGGCATCGTTTATCAAAATCACTCTCTTCATCTATATCTCAATTCTACTAAAAGATCTATTATGACATCATCTATATCTATGAACACTATTCAGAGCCCAGGGTTGAGTCACTCACTGTCTCGTAATACGCATCACTTTGGCTGAGCTGTCTCTGAGACGCCGAGTTTGGTTGTCACAAACGGTCGTTGCAAGGAATACACCCATACCCGGAATACGGCAACCAACACAAGCTCGTATTCCTCGCTAGAGTGCAATTAATCTAGATATTTGCCTGGACGGCTATATCTACTGTCTCTACACTTTACCTGCAATGATACAATTCGGACCCCCACTCTCTCTACAGAGGGTTGAGCACTGGTTCTGGGTTCACTGAGCTGTCGGCAAACGACCCGGCAAATAACCGAGAACCGACCGACCCCCGCCCGTGGACCGGAGCAACAAAGCGGATGACTATTCGCCCCCTAGAGTCACACGTACGCCGCCGGTCATACAGGAATTGCCAAGTATATAACACCGCTCATTTGCACCGAGAAGTGGGCCCACAATCACATCTTCACCCACTATCACTCGACAACAGACTCACAGTCCATCACTCGCACCCCGCCATGGCAGCCTTCGCAAAGAAAAACTTTGGCTACGCCGCCTATGCCACCCACCGGCCCACATACCCGACCACCCTCTTCACCGCCCACCTCCTCCCCTACCACCACGGCCCGACCAACACCCTCCTCGACCTCGGCTGCGGCCCGGGCACCGTCACCCGCCCCCTCGGCTCCCACTTCAACCGCGCCATCGGCGTCGACCCCAGCTCCGGCATGCTCGAGTCCGCGCGCGCCCTCACCCCACCCGAAAAATACCCGCACATCGAGTACCACCTCTCCGACGCCGAGACACTCCCGTTCCTGCCCGACGCATCCGTCGACATGGTTGTCTCCGCGCAAGCCGCGCACTGGTTCGACCTTCCACGATTCTGGGCCGAGATGGCGCGGGTGGTGCGGTCCGGCGGGACCTTGGCCGCGTGGACTTACAAGGACTTTGTGTTTCCGGGCTTCCCGGCGGCGAGTCTGGTTGTTGCGCACTACACGTATGGGCGTGACAAGATGGGGCCGTGCTGGCAGCAGCCGGGGCGTACCCGGTGTCAGAGCCGTATGCGGTTCCTGGACCCGCCGGCGGCGGAGTGGGAGGGTGTCGAGCGGTGGGAGTATGAGCCGAAAGTTGAGGGGAGCGTTGAGGAGCTGAAGGAGCTGGGGTATGCGAATGAGGTGGATGAGACCGAGGGGCTTGTGAAGCGCGGGGAGCCGCTGCTGAGTATGAAGTGGAAGCTGGGGGATGTGGAGAACTATGCGAGGACGTGGAGCGCGGCGCATGAGTGGGGGGTGAGGAATGAGGGCGGGGATGTCATTGGGGATATGTTTGCGGATATCAGGAAGGCGGCGGGCTGGGAAGGGGAGGGGTGGAGGGAGAGGGTTGTGGATGTGGAGTTTGGGCATGGGGTGCTGTGTGTTAGGAGGAAGTAGAATTATGTAGAAGAGGTTTTCGTTTGTATATATAGGCGCGTAGGGGCTTTTTTTTTCTTGTTGACTCCACTCGGTAATGTTTTGTATATAAGTGTGTTGACTGGTAATGATAGTTTGTAGTGTTTTTGTGGATGTGGCTTGGCATGCAGTTGTGATACGAGTTGCATCCAATTGTTATATCCTGTTCCAAGAAACGTTAACATTCGAGATCGTAAAGCCCACCATTTCTCCAGCGGGTCGGTAACCTCTGGGACCATGGAGCCCATCACTATGAATACGGGGAGTTATTGTAAAGCCCAGTATTCTTCCACGGCGCTCAATACCTGTTGTTCTTGGCAATATTTGCGCTGCAGTGTTAACTCTGTTCAAAAGGAATGTGTTCTTGTCACGTCCGCTATGTGTGTTCTTTTGTAACTGTCTTTTCAAGCAGTAGATAGGTGTTAAACATTATCTTTTGCTTACACTATAAATAGTGGACTCTTCCCTCTTCATATTCGATAGATCAATAAGAATCTGTTATCGTCTTACTTCCTCCTCCCGCCTGAATCCAAATAAACAGTACCCACGTGCACATGCAACCTCGCAGAGAGCCCCCAACGAGCTACCCCACATCAGGCACAACTGCACACCAATACTAGCTTTCTCATGCCGTTTCTATTAACCCTCCCCGTGAAAGGTTCCACACCCCGAAAATTGAGTTTGTGCGGATACGAAGTCCTCTTTTGTATTTGCGTCGCTTCATCCCGAAGTGTGGGGGGATTGAAATGTTTAAATAACGTTTTTTCGGGTTCCAAATCCTACAGGCGCTGTCGTGAATCGATACTGGCCATGCAGCGTAGTATTCGGGTGTCGAATACAGCTGAATATATAATTTCCCAACTACAGCGGATAGTATCGAGACACTCACGGGGCACTGTATATAAGGCCTTCCTGGCACTCGAATGCAACCCAAATATCTAAATCAAGCCAGTTAACATAGCACTATCAAAAGACTAGAAATTATATATATATTACCAGCTAACGTAAAACATATACTCACCAACTACTAACCCTCACAGCCACCCATGACCGCCCCGACATCCCTCCTCGCCCCCATCTACACCTACCTCCTCGGCAACAACTGCCGCATCACCGCCACCAACGACTACGTCGGCCACTACCTCACCCTCCTCGCCAACTTCCGCACCCCCTGGACCACCGCCGAGGCCCGCCTCCTCTGCAACGAATACTCCCTCCTCTTCCACCACGAGCTCTCTGCTTCCGCGCGCATCGCAACCCCACCCGCCAACTTCCGGACCTCAGAGCAGCTGGCCGCATGTACCATGCACTGCCGTTCTCAGGCACCGGCGCTTGTCTCACGGCTCGAGGAGCTGCAGGCGTACGGTGAGACGCTGGACTGCTTTGAGGACCAGATGACGCCGGTGGAGCGGCGGGTGTGGTTCAAAGCGCGGGCTGTGGCGGCGCTGCCATGGAGTGAGGTGTGGAGTGTAGGGGCTGGGGGGGAGCGGTTCTTGCCGGCGAGGCTGGTGGAGCTGCATCACGATGTGTGGCTGCATGCTAGTTTTGAGGAGGAGAGTGGGAGTGAGGGAGAGGGGGATGATGAGGATGATAGGGCGTGGGTGGCGGGGGTGTGGCAGCGGTTGAGGGAGGTGAGGGAGTTTGTGGAGGGGGGAATGGAGGTGGTGCCGTAGAAGTTTGAGGTGATGTATGAGTTTAGCTTTTTGATTAATTGTCGTAGTTGTTGTTCGGTTTATTTTTTGTTTAAGCAGTTGGTGTAGCGTACAGATGATTTAGGTATTATTTTATTTAATGTGACCCACTTTTAATTTCAAGTACAGCCCTACCTCGCTGTAAGGAAACCCGGCAGAAGAAATATCAGATATAAGTAACTGGATTGGGGGATTGTTTTATTCCATACTAAATATACCTCGATATAAGAATTAAATAGCATTAGCATAGGTCGCAAGAAGAAGTATCGGAATTAGTAATTGGGTTTTTGTTAGGCTTACTTCATTTCTCTATGACTCATTGGGTTCATCAGCAAACCTGCAGCCTTCGCCAGACACTCGGGTGCTCAGGGCACTCAGGGCACTCGGTAGGTAAACTATCTCTCCAGAGATACGGCAAGTGCTCCTGGCAAGTTTTGGCATATGGTTGTCCACCTCAGCGCACACTAGTCCACCCAATGCGCCCCGATACCTAATCCTAGTGCTCGGCGTAACCCGGATGTCAGTCCAGTCACCAGAGAAAACCAGTTACTCACTGATATATCCTTACTGCTCCTGGAGCACTCCCGACTGCTTCAGTGGGCCCGGGGATAGAATGATTGCCCTGAACCAACCTGACATTGCCGGATCGGGTGCTTTGAAACCTGGCTCATGCCCGATATACCGATTCCTATATGCCGGTGCCCCATTCTCTCCAGGCATACACTTCTCTGCAGTATCGGCCTCTAGTATTCACAATTCCCCCATGAGATTACCAAAACATCACTCGGACGACGATCTCTACTGCCTCCAGATCACTCGCGACTGCACTTTTAGAATTGATGTATTCAACACCGTGATCCTCCACCTGATACTAAAACAATACACTATTTAACACCCCCATTAACCCTAATACAATATGCGGAAAAGAACAAATCCCCCACTATCTCCCTTAGCACTCGCGATTGTTCTACACATCCTGCCCCCCGCCCCTTTCATAATCCTCCGCCACAGGTAATTCCGCCTCTTTTTCTTCCTCCTCCCTGTTCTCTTCGATGTCAATTCTGCGAAGTTGAGTATTAATCACTTCGTCCTGGGTGCTGTCGGAACCAACCCGACCTCTTGGAGCACTCACAGGTATTCTCCGAACATCTCGGAATGCGGCAAGATTTGCAGGCAGAGCTTCATCCTCCTCGCTAAAACCCTCCTCCGGTATCACCTCAATAGTTACCCCCTTTTTATCTTATATCTGTTAGGGTTAGCATTTAGAATACCACTAGCATTACCGGCATCTAGAAGTATCGTACATCTTCTCGAAGGTTATTTTTGATTACCTCCAAGGTTGCCTCCTGGTTCTGTTTCTTGAAATAGTACGCTCAGCACATTTCATAGTATTGGAGGATTCTCATTTGTCATCATGAGTCACGGGTTTTTGACTCATTCTTTCCTTGGTATTTATTAGTCATGTTTTTCTATTACTTATACGGTTATGATTCATTATGTTTTGTGTTACCTTTCTTTAGTATAAATATGGGGCATTCCCCCTTCTTTAGTTAGCAGGAATAACACGCTCAATTACTACACTTCTCTACATACATTTTCTCTAGGTTATGAGCCCGGAGACCATCTACGCTTAAAACACTCCAAACCATTTTTACTATCAAAGTACACTCTATCGTTTCACTTCAAACATGTCGAACAACAGCGTAAAAATTCCCGCTTTACCATGCAAGCTGTCTGGCCAAGGCCATTACACTGTTTGGAGGGACCTCGCTTGTCGCATGTTAAAAGTTTACGATTTGTGGAATCTAGTCAATGATACGAGTAAGCGTCCAGCGTTCACCACTACGGTTACAGCGGCACCACCTGCAGAACAACCAGCAGAAGGTGCAGCAGCAGCAACACCAGCAGAAGAGGACGAAGAAGAAACTACAGACAATGCCGAAGAAATCAGCGAATGGGACAAGAAAGATAACCTCGCCGTCGTCTTCCTTCAATCCAATATCGAATTTGAAGTCATTCTCACGCTCACTCCGGCCGATACTGCTCACCACCTCTGGACTCAACTCGAGGACAGATTTGATCAGAAAACTGTATTTTCCCTCCACTCGCTTCTTGCCAACGTTGTAACCCTACAGTATACGCCTGACAAAGGCATCAAGGAACATCTAACCCAGTTCAATACTCTTTGGTCATCCCTCCTCACCAGAACTAGTAACTCTACGGACAAAACCAAAGACCCAATCGGTTACCACCTCCATCAATTCGCATCAGTCTCAGAAGTGAAGGCATCCTTCCTACTCCTCTCACTCCGGCACGAATCCCTCGAATCAGTCGTTGACAACCTGCAAACCAAGCCCAATGTCACCTTCGATGACGTCTATGAAAAGCTGTTGGATCTGGACTCACGGCGCAACAACGATGGACAAGCGACTGGAGAAGCCTACAACATCAGGCGAGGAAACCCAGGATATGGAAACAACAACAAAGTCGGAAAGACACGGAACCACAAAAAGGACAAAAAGGATCTTATATGCACATGGTGCACCAAGAACGGCGAATTTGCAAAAGACCTCACGCATAAAGACTGCCGGAAACTCAAAGCTTTCAGAGACAAAGAGAAGTCCGCTGCATCTGGCAACCTCAACGTCGCGTCCGGTACTGCATTTCATACAAAACTAGATCTTTCTTGGATTCCTGATCTCTCTGGTCTCCCCGCACTCGAAGAAGCTGATGTATTTACTATGCCGGTTTCCTTCGACTTTACCACTTTCTCAGACACCTCGTATGTAACAATGGAAGACTACTTTAGCTTCGTTGCAGGACCTTCCACATCTGACAACAAGGCATGGATCTTTGACCCTGGTGCAACTAACCACATGACCGGAACTCAGGTTACCAACCCCTCACCTCACAGTGGAACAGTCACTGTTGGCGGCGGGCGAAAACTACAAATAACCGGAATTGGAAATGTCACCATCAACGGATCACATGGCCCCATCACTCTGCAGAATGTATTTTTAATCCCAGAACTCGGCAACACCAACCTAATGTCTTGGTCATGTATTGCCAAAAAGGGATTCACAACGACAGGGACTGAAAACGGCTTTACCATTTACAAACCAAACAGCAAGGAAATCGTTGGGATCGCTAATACAAATAGTACTGGTCTTTATATCTTTGAAACCAAGGAACTTTGCGCACATATCTCTATCGCTACCAGCTTCTATGATTGGCACCAACGACTCGGACATCTCCCCGCTTCCTCACTCTCACAGTTACGTAATATGGTCGCCGACCCAAAGTCTCTCCCCACAACAGGTCACATGGAAACATGCAATACATGTGAACTCGCCAAATCTACCAAATCCCATCTCGCCCCTCTTACCGAACCACGATCCAAACAACCACTAGAACTAATCCACTCAGATCTGAGCGGCAAGTTTTCCACTCCTTCTCTTGGCGGTTTTAGTTACTATATTACTTTCATCGATGATTATTCCAGGTACGCCCACCTCTACTTCCTTAAAAAGAAGTCAGATGCAGCAGCTGCCACACAACGGTACATGGCATACATGGAAAATCAATTGGACAAAACAGTTAAACGGTTTCGAAGCGACAATGGTGGCGAGTACATCTCCAACAACCTTCAACAGTTCTTTGCCTCCAAAGGCATAAAGCATGAATTCACTGTGCCCTACTCTCATGAGTCAAACGGAACAGCAGAACACTTTAACAGAACAATAGCAACAATGGCACGATCCGCCTTGCTCGACCACGATCTTCCACGGAATCTATGGGCAGAAGCGATCAATACAATGGTACACGTCAAGAATCGTCTCCCGCATAAAGCACTCCCGAACATGACACCATATGAAGTACTCACCGGCAAGAAACCCTTTATTGGGCATCTCCGATCCTTCGATGAAACAATGTTTCTTCACATACCTGTCGAAGCACGACCAGCTGGAACAAAGTTGGACGCTAGGGCAATCACGGAACAATTCTGTGGCTATGGAGACTCTGATAAAATCTGCCGTGTTTATATACCATCACAAAGGAAAGTAGTTCTCTCTCGTCATTTTAGGTTTAAAGGTCCGTCCGTAGGGGAAGAAATCGAAACAATGAAAACCGACATACCCCCTAAACCAAAACAAATCGAGATCAAACAAGAACCACCCTCACGTCTATCAACACCACCTGCGAAACTCTCAGATTCCGATATCGAAGACCTGTTTAACCAACAAATGCTTCGAGAAACTATTGAACAAATTTCCAACGACGAATCTGAAGAAGAGGAAGAAGACGTTCCTGAACGTACCCCGCACAATGATGTTGATACAGACACTGATCAACCGAGACGTAACCCAGTACGGGAACGGAAACCTCCCGTCAGATATGGATACAACATTCAGTATGATACCACCATTGCAGAACCAACAAACTATCACCAAGCGATCAACAGTCCTGACTCCGAAAAATGGCAAAAGGCTATGGAAGTTGAACTCGACTCACTCGCTAGGAATAATACATGGAATCTGGTTGACACACCAGATCACCGAAAATTGGTCGACTGCAAATGGGTATATAAAATCAAACTCGGGCCCGATGGCAACCCCATTCGGTACAAAGCCCGACTTGTCGCAAAAGGTTTCTCACAGGTACCTGGTCAAGACTTTGATCAGACTTACGCTCCTGTCATCCGATACGAATCCATCAGACTACTTCTTGCTCGCTGCCTTCAAACCGGCGGCCAATGCGATCAGATGGACGTTACTAGCGCTTTCCTATATGGCGAACTCCAGGAAGAAATCTATATGAAATCTCCACCTGGCTACCGTACTCCCGGCAAAGCATGCAGACTTATCAAATGCATCTACGGCCTCAAACAATCGTCTCGGGAATGGTATGCTCGTCTCTCCAAAACGCTAATCAAAATGGGATTCAGAAAAGCGGACTTCGACCCTTGTGTTTTTATTCATAAAACAGGGGAAGTTGTCATCGCCATCTACCTAGACGATATCCTTATCTTCTACTGGTCCGTTGAACGCAAAAACCGCGTCAGTCTCCAACTCCACGCAGAATTCGAAATGACGGAAACTGGCACAGCCAACTGGGCACTCGGGATCCACTTGATCCACACTAAAACTGGCGTGATCCTATCACAAGAAGCCTATCTCAAGCGTGTACTTATCAAATACGGTTTCGATGAATCTAGACCTGTGGCAACACCCATCAACAACAATGTTCACCTACAAAAGGGAACAGAAGCGGAGAAAATCGACGATCCAACAATCTATCAGTCGATAATCGGTTCATTAATGTATGCAGTAATTGGTACCAGACCGGACCTCGCCTACACTGTCACCATGCTCTCGCAATTCTCCTCCTGCCCCACTAAAGCTCACCTGGCTGCAGTCCATCGCGTCTTTCGTTACCTCAAGGGTACCCTCGATTGGTCACTCTTCTACGCAAAAACGCCGCCCACTGCACTCATCGGGTTCAGTGACGCAAGCTATGCCTCTGATATCGACAATCGCCGCTCATTCACCGGCCACTGCTTTATGCTAGGGGAAGCTCTTATCTCCTGGCGCTCTTATAAGCAGCGCTCCGTCGCCACCTCTACTACTGAGGCAGAGTATATGGCTCTTTCGGACACCAGTCGACAACTGATCTGGTTAAGGAATGCGATACATGAGTTGGAATGGAAACCGAAACTTTCTTTTATTCTTCGCGGTGATAATAATGGTTCTTTGTCCTTGGTTAAAAATCCTGTCTTTCATAAAAGGTCTAAATATATTGATGTGCATTTTCATTTTGTTCGGGAACGATACGAGGATAAATTGTTTGAGTTGGAATATATCTCTACAAATGAAAACGTGGCGGATTTACTTACAAAGGGATTGGGTAAGGGCAAGCATGTTTTATTTTCTTCTACTATTCACTGTGGTTCACGAGGGGAAGTCTTGAAATAGTACGCTCAGCACATTTCATAGTATTGGAGGATTCTCATTTGTCATCATGAGTCACGGGTTTTTGACTCATTCTTTCCTTGGTATTTATTAGTCATGTTTTTCTATTACTTATACGGTTATGATTCATTATGTTTTGTGTTACCTTTCTTTAGTATAAATATGGGGCATTCCCCCCTCTTTAGTTAGCAGGAATAACACGCTCAATTACTACACTTCTCTACATACATTTTCTCTACTGTTTACTTCTGTAACGGAGCCATTTCAACT